CACTCACACTGCTACACGCTGTGCAGTGCATCCATCTCTTACTTCAAGCACCTGCACTCACTAACAACCCATTGCCTCTTAGCAAGTCAACCTCCAAACCTGCCTCACAAGTGCAACCTCGACCTCTACAATCTGTACAATCTCACAATCCACACACAACTCAACTTGCAGGGACCGAGTGGCAACCAAGGCATGGTGACAAAGACTATCTCAAAACGGCTGAGGAACACATTCGTTCTCTATTGTCAATACACTCACCATCTGTTGTCAGATTATTTCTGTAATTGTTGTAGATAATAATGTATTTATACAATATTTCAATATAATTATAAACTGTTATTTCAATAACAAATGGATATAAGGACAAACTTATCTTATACATCTTATATTTATATGTTTTCCTTGTTAAAATAACAAGTGTTATAATACTTAGCCATTTTGTGAGGTGCACTTTAAGCACTTGTATATCTTAGTAAGTACTACAATTCTTATTATTCTTGACCAGATAGTCAAGACTTTTTAATAGCTTTCTTAGCTTCTTATTACCTTCCTAAAACCCCTAGGTACACAATAAGCTCTTATACATAATGTAGAATATATATATAATTTATATACATATAAGCTAATACAAAGTTTGAGATATTTTCCTGATGCATGACTATCTCCGTCTTCCTCGTCGTATTCCTTCGCTGGAGCAAAGCCTAGCAGGACAAGTACTTCCAACTCCTCTAAAACATTTATTTATTTATCTTTTTCCATGCTGTGCCTTCTTAATACTCACGCGAGTGATTGGCTTTATGATCTGCTTCCCTTGCTGCGTGCGAGGACAGACGACTACCTGAAGCCGTCTGAGCGGATGATAATCCGGCCAGGACTATTTAGTTGTATAACAGAAGAATAGTGTATGACACAAGTGCAATGCCAGTACAGTACATACTACTCAAGTAGGCAAGATCAATATGCAAGCCCCGCACAGATGTCCTCAGCAGCAGAGAAACAGAAAACCATCGTATACAAAACCTAATAGAGCTGAGAGTATAATGTGACTTGATACACTAGTCAAAGTCGTACATCCGGATTGAAACAGTCCTGCCAATGCTCGCCATGTGCAACGTCCTTGAAATTCAACTTTGTCGAGAATTCGCAACTGAAAACAGCCGTGTTCTGTGGCCGCCAAAGAGTCGGACGAATATCGGGTGGAAGCCATAACAGCAACTCGCCTTGAGGGCCTAACACCCATCCGTTGTCTGCAAGGGTCCAACTTTCAAAGCTATCATCGACGTCTTGTATGTCGGAGCATAATGCGACCACATTATCTTGCGAATTTCTGATTGTTAAAGAATCGTCTTTGCCTGGTACCTCCCAAACACGTATTGTTGCATCATAAGAGCAGGAGACAATACGGGAACTGTCTGGTGAAAAGGCAACGCAACTGACGGGACCGCTGTGTCCTTTGTACGGCTCAGAAACGATAGTTCCATCACTCGCATCCCAAACAATAGCCGTCTGGTCGTATGACCCGGAAACAATGTATGCCCCGTCACGTGAAAACGCAACAGACACGACTATGTCGTTGTGCCCTTCCAGCTGTCCAGAGACAATCTGGCCATTTTGCACATCACGAATAATGATATCATCGTCCGAGCTGCGCGAGACAATACACATCCCATCAGGGGAGAAGGCAACCGGTGCGAAGTATGGAAATGTACTGTCGTCGGGTGCCCTGAAAGGTCCAGAAACACATTGCCCACTTTCGATATCCCAAATGACGACGTCGTTGTTGTCAGACGCCGATGCAATAAGCGTGCCATCCGGCGAGAAGGCGACATTATCAATCTCAGTCGTGTGCACTTGTTCAAATCGGGCAATCATGCTTCCGTTCTCGGCATTCCAGATAATGATAGTCCTGTCCTCAGATCCAGAGACGATACGTGTACTATTGGGAGAGAAGGTAACCGAGTTGACAGTGCCTGTGTGCCCTTTGAGCGGCTCAAATGCCATCCCACCGCTGTTTATGTCCCAGACAATGATACTCTCATCCTTAGAACCAGAGACAATTCGTTTCCCGTCAGATGAGAAGGCAACAGAATTAACAAAGTGTCGATGTCCCTCAAACAGCACGGAAGCTACTTGCCACGTGCTGGCGTCCCAGAGTCTCACTGTTTTATCAAACGAGCCTGACACTATCCGACCGCCGTCTGGAGAGAAAGCAATAGACATAATTGCTTCTGTGTGCCTGGCAGAAGTGTCAGATACAACCTTGCCAATTGACGCTTCCCAGAGTCTAACAGTCTTGTCAATAGACCCCGAGACAATGTGTGATCCATCAGGAGAGAAGGCAACAGAGAGAACAGTATCTGCATGTCCAGTATATGGGCCAGAAACAATGTCACCACTCTCTACGTCCCAGACAACGATTGTGCGGTCGCTGGATCCTGACAAAACACGCTGTCCGTCAAATGAAAATGCGACAGAAGTGACAATGTTTGAATGACAAAATGGGCCAGAGACGAGTCTCCCGCTCTCCATGTCCCAGACTTTCACTGTGCAATCATTCGAGCCAGAGACAATGTGCCTGCCATCGGATGAGATTGTCACAGAGTAGACTTCGCCCGTGTGTCCCACGAGAGGCTCGCCAATGGCCTGTCCCGTCATCACATCCCAGACTCTAATTGTCTTGTCCTTGGAGCCCGAAACGATTCGCTTCCCGTTAGAGGAGAAGGCGACAGACCATACAGAAGCTGTATGTCCTACGAGAACATGCACAGCGGATGAGATCTCAATGCCCCACACTCTTACTGCTCTATCTGCTGAGGCTGATGCAATGTGCGTTCCGTCAGGTGAGAATGCGACAGCATGTACGCCTTCGGTGTGTTCTCTAAATGGTCCTGAGACCACTTCCCTTGACTCAATGTCCCAGATAGAGACTGTCCCGAGCCATGACCCAGTGACAATGCGACGGCCGTCTGGTGAGAATGCGACGGAGGTGACCTCGGCCCTGTATTCTTCAAAAAATTCGGATAGCACCTCACCGCTCACAACGTCCCAGATTCTGGCTGTTCCGTCATAGGACCCCGACGCGACGCACTTCCCATCGGGCGAGAATGCGACGGACCAAACATAATCCGAATGCCCCTCCAGTACTTTCAACCACAGCGGTGGCCGTTTCGTCCCTATTCGATCCACTGCTACCATTCGAGATGTCTGTTTCGAGTAATGGGCTGCGACTTCCGATTCGCCCTTCATGAGCGGGAGCATGGAGACGTAGATGTGCGGTGTGCTTTCAGTCATGGGAATGGCGAATTCGGAGGCGAGTCTGCTTGCATCCTTTAAGAAAGAATAAATGTCTGAATCATGCTCCTAGACGAAGATAAGTGCCTATACACGACCGAATTCGATGTTGCTCACCTCGGACCACGCAGAGGCGTCCGATAGTGCTCGGCTCGCAGTTTGACTGACCTGACCTAGCAGACTCAGGACCTCGAACCAGTATAGAAGGTGTTCATGTGCGAATGTCCTCAGTTCGCCCAACAATTCGTGAGAGAAAGGAGCCTCAGAAAGGTGATGTGCCCAATGTTTACATGCATATTGTAGATGCGGCGGTGCCTTCTCGCTGATGCGCTCATCGATCCCGTCGACCTCCTTGTTGTACATGAAAGACGAGTCGAGACCGCACATATTAAAATGAAGCATATCCTTCATGACGATAAAGCAACGCATGGCAATGGTAGACTGCTGGAACGATTTGTCGATGAACCACGGTCCGGATAAACAGCCAGAAGGCCTTTGACCATTAGACGATGCTCGATGGGTGTGGCACGGTATGGAGCAGGGCGATGACAGGAGATAATCTACGAATGATGTATGGAAAAGATGCACAGGTCGACCAGGGGCGAATGCGACCACACTCTGCAACTTCGAGAGAACTATGCGTGACGGGTTACTCGATGTAAGGCCTAGAACTGCATCAATTGTAATGTCTGAAAGCGGCGCATTACTCAATAAGATGAGACCAAAAATTTGTGAGAAGTGAGTGATAGATTGAGGGAAGCACTCTGAGACAACCCCAGAGTTTGCAAGGACCGTTTCGTACAGTTGATTAAGGCCACCAAGTAGATGTGACCTCCCAGCAATATCTTTGAGACCTTCATATGGACTGATGGGGTGCTCCTTAACCAGATTTATCGCTGTTGACGCCCAGATAAACAAGCCTTGAGAGGCATCTGCTAGTTGTGCCCTGTAAGTGCTCCAGTCGTTCGGCATCCCGAGCCCTAACTCTTTAAAAATGACACTAATCTCGTGATCAATAAATATTTGAACATCCCGTCGACTGGAATCCAACGCGAGCTCATAAACTGAATTTGGGCGGTTTGACAACGCTTTGTTGATATCATTCTCTGGCCGGCTCGTAATGAGAAATCGGAAACTGGGAGGTAGCTTTCCGAACTCCTTTTGTAGAAGCGCCATCAATTTTCGCCGAGCGTCCGGCGTGCAACATTCATCCAACGCATCGAGGACGATTACGACTGGAGCCTGTAACTCATCCCTCACTGCCACAAGCGGTTCCAAAAGAAGCCTCTTGAACTGCACCTCGGCAATAGCCTCGGTGATATTGTCGCTTTTCTTCACAGCAGCTTTGACATGTCCTGCTATAGACGAGTCGAACATCACCAACCGGAATGCAAGTGTTCGGAATAACGAGACAAGCTGGCCATCCGTGCTGTCGGCTCTCCTGAAGAAAATAAAGGCGCCAAGCCTCGACATTTCTCGGCAACGCTCCGCAATTGTCGTCGCAATGGTACTCTTGCCAGATCCTGCAACACCGTGAAGCCACAAGATGTTCTGCGTTGTGTCTGATAAAACCCAGTTCATGATTTCGTTCAGCACCTCGACTCGTGTGTCTTTGAGGCATGTATTGCAATTGAATGCATTCATGTCAAACGGCTCGAGTAACTCACGGAAATCTAGTGTAAGGAAACTCACTGTTCCTCACAAGAGAATTCTAATCGCCCTTAGTTCACTCAACTACTGACTGGGATAACCTAGTACTCGAGCAAGGGGTCAGGGGAAAAGAATCCCCTTTACCCAGCGATCGATACTGTCTTTTATAGGGTAGTACACGTGTAGATACATGAGGAGGAAGTGTAACTAACTACAATGAGAATATATGTGCTTGTGGGTCCCACTGTGTAATGATCTGACACAATCAGCAATGTAGTGATAATAAAATACAAACCAGTAAATCAAATCCTTACACTCGCCCTCTAGCATTTAGTCCTAAATGCTAAAAATCAGTAGAAAAGGTGGAGAACTTACTTAAAGTAACAGTTAGTAACGAGTAAATAATAAAATACCTTGCCCATGCATATGGGAAACATCCTCGTGATGTAGTACTACCTCTCTGAACTGATCCAAAGTCAATCTGGTGAGTATTGAGACAGTGGTGGTGTTCTGAACAGTGAGTAGTATGGTTCCAAACCATGTGAAACTAGATAAAACGTTAATAGAATCAAACGTAGTCAATATTACCATATAGTCAATTAGTAGAAAAGTTGCCTCTTGATTGTTGCTATTAATACAACACTTTTTGAAGAGAATCGGTGGAGTTCCTGGGGAGATATGGTGTTTTGGCTCTTGAGTATTCTGAGATGTACAGTGTAGATCAATATGTACAGAAGTGGAAATTCTGGTGGTGTGGTAATTGCAAATATTCTCTTCTCCTGCATCTTCAAGAAGCACAGAGGTAAATCCCTGATCAACAAAGCTATAGCCTTCTTCCTTAATAGAATGGATTAGTGTTGTAGCTTCTAACTGTCCTTGTGTGAATTCTTGTTCCTGTAGGATAGTCATGCAATAACATGTAGCAGAGATGTATTCCAAAATTCCTCTACTATGTCCTTGATTTTTCTAATAGACTAGTTCCTGCAAATGTAATGCCTTGTACTTGTATGAGTAGAATATCTTCAAATGTGTGCTCTTTTGTGTATAATAACCAACTGTGATACAACACTGGATATCCTGTTGAGCCTGATGTTTAGATACTAATTGCAGAGTGCAATGTAGAGTGTAGTATTTGTCCTTGAATGAAAATATTGTCTCAAATTCAATGAGATTGTGAGGTATGAGCCTAATATCACTAGATATGTGAGTATATGCATGGTATCTCTGTGCACAATGAATGTCCTGCTGTATTCTCATACTGTTTCCTTGTATCTCAACTTGTTTGTGTCTTTGTAAGTCAACTGATTTGATTCCTGAATCATCTGAGTATACTTTCAATGTCTTATGGTACAATGTTCTATCACACTGTGTCCAAGTAGTGTTCTCTACTTTCCTGAGTGCTGTAACTGTCTGTATACTGTGTTGTTCCATGTATGTCTTAATGAAATGTCCTGTCTGTATGTACAGTAGTACTGCCTGAAGTCCTGAGTGTATGCTGCCAATTCTCTGTTCATTTGGCAAATCCATGTGTAGATCAATGTACTCTAGCACTGACTTCCTGTCTTTCTGTGCACTTGTCCTTGTTCTGATGTATTCTTTCCTCATGTACCTATCATGTGTCCTGTTTCCTGTAGTACTGATACTGTCTGGTCCTACAAAGTCCTTTGCAAAATCGTTCTGTAGCAATCCATGTAAGAGAAATGTATGTTCAAACATGATTGTATACTCAAAGAGTGTGTATACAATGCAATGTGTGTGCCTCTCACCCTCTTGTCAAAATATGACTTCATTTTCAGTGTAAAACATCTGGTACTGTCCTAGAACATATCTGTAGTGTCTAGAGAGGTCTTCTGCATGATTTTGTACTTCAAACTGATTGTAACTACTCATTCCTAGAGTAGATTGAACTGTATTATTGTTTAATAGATGTCCTAGAGCTTCCTGATACTCTGTTTCCTTCTGTAGCATTGAAGTATCATGCCTGAATGCTCGAATAGTCTGATCAATCATTCCTAATTCACTATTACTCTGATATTTGCTAGCTGTATGTGTATTGCCTTTGCTTTCCCTTGAAGCAGTGTGATAATCCGTTTGAGTGGATTGAGCAGATTGTACAGATTGTCTGGGTTCCAAACCTGTTCTCTGGCTTGAAGTCACCCTCTGAACTTCTGAACTTTGTTCCATACAATGTGTATCCATTCCTGATCTCAGTAGTGTCTTACTATCATTATGTTACATAGATTGTAGTGGTTTTACATTCTGTAGATTGTAATTGTCATCCTGTAGCTTGAATATTACAATCCTTACTATGTATCCTGAGTATATGTGCACTAGTACATCCATTTGAGTGTCTGCAATGTTCATAATATGTCTGATAGAGTGTCCTGAGTCTATTCCAATGAATCCTGACTGTCTGAAAGTGTATTTTGTAATGTAATACCTTATGTTCTCCTGAAACTGTGTTCTGTACAATATATCCTTGTAGTCTGAGCTGGTTCTGACGTTTCTGAACAATTCTTCATCATAAACTGAATAGTTTCATAGCATAACATCCGATTGTACCTTATAGAATGTTGTTCTATGCAAATTACTTTGATTGTGCTCTGTACTGATTGTTTCTTCAATCCTGAAGATGGAAATGTCTGTTCTAATGTTGTAGAATCAATATACCTGAATGTCTGAACATTCTCCTAGTCCTGAAATTGTCTGAAGCAGTTCTTTGCTTTTGAATACCTTCCTGTACTGAATAGAATTGACTGTGTATGTGTATGTCTGTGTCTTTCTATTACTGTTGATGTATCTCCATGCCTGATACTTATTCTGAAGCAGTATCATTGTATTCTCAAGGTATATGCACTTTGCCTTGCTCAATGTGCTGATTTCTGTTTTCTGATGCATGATGTAGCCTTCTAACTTAATAGAATACCTGTGTGAATCGTTTGGATTGAAATATTTCTCAGTATCCAAGAGTAGTTGTATTTTATAGTCTAGTAATGCTTGATAGATTGTCCTGCTTGTGCAGTTTACTATTTGCATTGCCTTGTAAACTATAATACTATCTGACTGGTTATATTCTGATCTTCTAACATTCTCAGGTCCTTTCCTAATGTCCTGGTATGCATTCCTGTTGTCTGTGAACAGCCTGTATTTCTTAAGAGTGTTGTTTCGATTTGTGGCTCTAAGAATTGGTAGTTGTGTCTTTAAAGTGTCCATGTATGTGTTGCCTTGTGCCTGTAGTGTCTTAGATTCCTTGAAACAATGGTTGTATGTGTGTTTCCTAGTCCTTTCCATGTGCTATACATATCTGTAGTCTTGTAGAATCCTTTCTACACTGTATGCCTGTGCTTTTGAGTGTAAAATGTTATTGTATGTACTATACAATTGTCTATCTCAATGTTTAGACTTTCTACAATGTTTATTCCTGTACTGAATGCCTGTAGTACAATGCCTAAGTGCTGTAGTCTCATAGAGTCTTGAATATACTGAATTTACCCTTTCAAATGCATTGTTTGCATGCCTGAACTTGTGTTCGTTCTTGAACTACTACTCAAGTTATTCTTATGCTTGCTGTACTCAATATGTGGCTTTGAACTGTGTAGTTTGCTGTGCTCTGAATCAACTTTGTTCTCACTAATACCACTAGTGTTTGCCTTGCCTGGGACTGCTTTCAATTGAAAAGTATTGCTATGGGATTGTTTGTTCCTTTTATTTTCACAAGGTATACTCTGATGTCCTGAAAAACTTGGTATTTCCATTTGAGACCACATATATCCAGGTATTTTGCTTTCTCTCTTATTCCTAGACCTGGCTAGGGTGTCATATCCATTGTAGTAGTCCTGTACATTGCTCCTGTACAATGCATAGTTGATATCTGCCATGTATGAGGTTAAACACTTGATTTTGTGGGTGTATGCTTGATTTTCACCCTCTGGATCAAGTACTAATCCTTGTAGTTCTAATATGTGTTCACTTTTGCTATCCTCAAAGTACTGTTCTGTTGATGCAATGTCTGTTTTGCTTGGATAGTCTGAATTGATTTCACAATCGTATTGAATGCCTGACAGTTCTGGTTTTCGTTCTGTTCCTTGTGCTTTGTGTTTTCCTTTTGCTTTACACTTTCCTTTTGCTTTCTGTGAATGTGATTGTTTGTCTGGACTCTTGAGTGTTTCTTCTACACTCTTGTATTGATAGTTCTGATCTCTATTGTCTGTGGGTACAGTAGCATGTCTGGCTTTTGTTCTGTAGCCTGCCTGAAGTGTTTCACACTTTTCTGTTACTATACTATTGAGTCTGCTCTTGTTTGATGAAGGAGTTGCTTTCTCCTCTTCCTGATACATTCCATCAAACTTGTACATTCTCTTATTCAAATCTTCAATGTCTATTGAACTGTAGAATGGGCTGACATGTCCTATGTCTATCTCAATTGCTCTAGCTCTTACAATGTGTCTGAAGGTCTTACTTGCCTTCTGGAAATCTTGTTCCTCATCAAATCTCTGTAGTTCTGATGCCTGGCTCTCCTGGCCTTGTCTGTTACTCTTGTTCTTTGAGTCCTGGCTGCTTTCTTCACTACTGAAGAGGGTCTTAGGTGTCTCATTGCCCTCTACATTACTGTTGTCAATGTGTTTCTGTTCTGAAGTAAGTGTGCTCACTGGATACTCATCCACACTCTCACTAATACTGACTATATACACTCTGTAACTCTTGTACTAGCTTGCAAATTCCTTGATGCTCACTGTTAGCTCTCTATATTGACTTGGTGAATCCTCAAACCAAATTGCCTGTTCTCTATCAAGTGAATCCTCAAACTTGGTAGCCTGAAATCAATCAAGCAAATCCTCAAGCTCAATCACCTGTACTCAGTGAGTTGAATCCTCAAACTCAACCTTCTGTACTCAATTGGACGAATCCTCGAATCCAATTGCCTGTTCATCCTGAACTCAACTGTCTGAATCCTCAAGAACAATTGCCTGAGTGTTTCTGCTCTTTGTACCATTATTTGCTATTTCTGCAAGCCTAGTAGTGTCAATACTTGCTGGTGTCTGCTCTACAGTGTGTGTTTGTCTAACTATATGTGCTGGTACAATTACATACCTTAGTTCTACATTATTAGTATGTAGTAGTTCATCAGGGTGCCTCCAGCCTTGTGTAGACAAGGACTTATCACCTGGTATAGGTTCATTGGGTTGCCTCCAGCCCACAAGGGACAAGGACTTACATCCTAGCATGTTAGTATTGATATCCAGACTTGGGTACCCTCTAGGAATTGTCTGTTGAGGCTTGGCAGCCACATTGTAATCAATATCTAATGGATAATCTTGTTGTCCATTGCCTGTAAACTTGATACACACCTGTTTGTTCCTTTTTGCCATCATGGATGCCTGGTCCTTGACCCATCCGATCGATGTGAACCTCCAGTGTATCCAGTGCTGGTCCATATCAATATGTGTTAATGTGTTCCAGAAGCGTTCTGTAGTGTTCCAAAGCATTGTGAACCTACTGGGGGCCAATCCAGTAAGTAGTCTCTGTTTCTACTCGAAAATCATAACTTTACTCACAAAAAATTCCTGAGGGGTACTAGACAACGAGGGAGACCTAGGGTTGATCAGACCCTTTGGTTCCTCAGCATCCAGCAAGAGGTTTCGGTGCTAGGTGGGTACAGTCAAAAATATGTAAGGAAACTCACTGTTCCTCACAAGAGAATTCTAATCACCCTTAGTTCACTCAACTACTGACTGGGATAACCTAGTACTCGAGTGAGGGGTCAGGGGAAAAGAATCCCCTTTACCCAGCAATCGATACTGTCTTTTATAGGGTAGTACACGTGTAGATACATGAGGAGGAAGTGTAACTAACTACAATGAGAATATATGCGCTTGTGGGTCCCACTGCACAATGATCTGACGCGATCAGCAATGTAGTGATAATAAAATACGAACCAGTAAATCAAATCCTTACATCTAGCCAGTCCAGGTATCAGTACTAATCGTCGCAGTTATAAGGCAGAGCATACAAATATCCTCAACGTCGTCCGATATCCGTGCGGACACAAATGCAGTATGCAGCCCAATATCTAAGTCCAGAGCCGTCTTGAGGTCAAGGAAGCGCTCGGTGAAATCGTCAATTTTAAGTCTGCTCATCTGAAGCATTCTAGCTGTCATCGAACGTTGGTTGACTATCAACACGTGCATCAATCGACTCAATTGACTCACAGGGGAAATTTCGACTGGTGTAATGGAGAATAAATCGACAACATTCGATAGTCTGTTGTAAGAGTCTCTCGATAGTGTGTTTCAGCCTCCTCTCAGTCTTATCAGGTAATGAATCAGCATCAGTCACGAAGTTGAATGCGTCTTCCATAGCATGAACGACTCCGACGAGCTTCTGGTCCGTCTCAATCTGATGGGAGATCGCCTATTTGCAATTTAAATCAGCTTCGTCACACCATGTCAAGCCAGATAAAAGATACTTTATACAATGCTGATGCCAGCTGCCAAGCCACATTCACATACGGATGAAGCTGTTGCTGATAAGCAAACGCTGCGAATCCATAGCACCTCAAGGACGTACTGTGGATAACTTATCAATGATGTTGACGAGTACTCCTGTCTTTTCAACTAGCGCCAAAATAGACTTTCCCAGATCCCTCTCTTCGTCCAGTATTGACAGACTTTGTTCTACCAGGTCACCAGACCCAGTAGAGTGGCCCAGCCCTTGTATTGCCTCAATCGCAGTATTAACATCGTGACTGAGATCCACGGATGTGATGGTCGCATTCAGCAGATGAACGACCACAGTTGGCTTTCCATAATTCTTCCCCGCATGTGCATCGAGGGGAAGATGAGCTGGGATCAGCACATAGTAAGCGATTTGTAGACGAAAAGGTAAAGTAAAAACACACCCGGCCCATTGACACATCTTCTGGATAACTCGCTGAGTTCTATGTTGATTGAACCGATACAAGTATCATCTCGCAGTGGAATTGTCGATTTATGTAGAACTTTGACCGAAACAACAGTGGACGCATCCGCTGCCGGGCTGTATCGCTGACATGAATTCTGGATGTTGAATTAGAGTGAAGGATACGCGTACAATGACAAGGTTTCGTTCCAAACGTGAGATTTATCCTTGATCGCGCGTGTCTTCCGAAGAATACTTCTGTGACATATTTCGACACAGAGGTTTGGTATTTTGCTGTGCAACGAACAATCCCACTGTAAACCGTCGACACGTATCACTGAAAAGCATATCGGTATTAATCCAGGTCGCAGAATTTGGTTAATATACGCACCCCGTAGGTTGTGCATTGCATTCATAGTAGGAACTGGATATGGGTTAGGAGGGGTAAGTATTAAGCGGCCAAGCGGCCCAAGCCTGTACACCGTGCCCTCTACCCAGCATACCCGATATAGGACCCATTGATCGGAAGCATGATAGAAGCTCAGTGTCACGGTCACCGACGACTCACTGTAGCCGGTCTGCCCACACGAAAAGTGAAGTGATCTTGAAGACTCGAACTTTCGAGTCCCAAAAATAGTGAACTTTTTGCCATGTGACCTAGATTACCTCAGCTTACTATCTGTCTTGTCTTTACCTTGGCGAGCGCGTTGCTGTGTAATCATGTAATGACTCAACATTGCATATCCTACACCACAACATACAGCCGTTTTCAAAAAGGTTGGCAATTCCCACAATCATGTGATTTGTACATCACAAAAATAAACATAGTCTTATAATGTATTATATGCAAATGTAATGTCTAAAATATATAAAATATATAGAAGTCTGCCAGGTGTCCATATATTGGATTTTAAGGCTAAGACATATATTTTCAAGATATGTAAGAGTTGTGAAATCTATAATACTTCTAATGATTGTCAGAGTATACAAGACTTGACAGACAATATAAGCCATTATAAGCTATTGTTAGAATTGATAGATAATAAAATAAATATTGTTTTAAATATTACTTGTACTTTCTAAACACTGTTATAGAAGGGAAAAAGTTGTGTAATATTTATTTAAATGTACTAAGGATACAAGCAAATTCCTTTAACTAACCATACTACCTTCCTCCTTTGACTCATAACAGTACTGCCCTTTTACCATCATCAACTGTCATCTTGTTGCTTGCTAGAGTCGGCTGGATGCTTAGATTCTCGTTCTGTCAA